ATGGATGGCATTGCATGGATGGATGTATGATGGATGGAGGATGCATGGTGATATGGCATGGAATGGATGTCATGATGGATGGATGCATGTGCATGGATGGATGGATGGATGGATGGATGCAGGATGCAGTATGAGGTAGGATGGATGGATTGATGTATGGATGGCATGGATGATATGCATGTCATGGATGGAGGATGGTGTGATGATAGTCATGGATGCATTCAGATGATGCATGGAGCATAGGATGTGCAGTGATTGCATGATGCATGTTGGATGGATGGATGGATGCATGCATGAGGAGTGGATTGGATGCATGGTGATCATTGATGCATGTGCATTCTATGCATGAGCATGTCATTCAGGATCATTATGCATGCATGCATGTCATTCATATGGATGGCATTCAGGCATGATGTCTTTGCGTTTCAGCATGTCAGGATTCAGTTCGAGCATGGATGGATGGAGGTATGTCAGGCATGCATGCATGGCATGGCAGTGCTGTGCAGGCATGGCATGATGGTATGGCATGATGATGTCAGGCATCATGTGGATGTATTCATGCATATGCATCATGTGCAGGTGGCATGACAGTTGCATGGTCATGGCTTTGGCATGCAGTGCATAGTGGCATGATGCTGGCATGCATGTCAGGATATCTCAGGCATATCAGTGGTGCAGGATGCAGCATTCATGTCATGATCACTTAGTCGATTCAGTATTCATTCATGCATAGGGTCATGCATGTAGCATGCATGATGCATCATATCAGAATGCATGGCATTCATGTCATGGGATCAGTCAGGATTGCAGTGATGCATGTCATGATGCATGATGCAAGTGTCAGGCATGCAGTCATTCACCCCACAGTACAAATCCCACGTACACACACTACCAACCGCATCCCGCTGCGAAAAATGATATTTATATGGACCTGTCTCTAAAGTTGACATGTCCAAAGGCTTATTGCTGATCAGATTTCTTATATTTCCTTTGATTATATATTATATAATTCCTATATACAGCACAACTGTATAAAACCCCGAAACCAGTGCACAGCCCAACACCAACATCATTCAATAATGTCTCTATGTGCAATACAGAGTTCAGAATGATCCTGTCATCAACATGAAATAATAGACTAAGAAACTAAAACATGATTGATTGTTTTTATTGTTATTATCATGTTTGTTAAAAAAGGTTTACAAAGAAAAAAAAGATTTATTTTCCACAGTACTCTTTTTGAGGGGAATTAACAGCATTTATTCAAAAGTAGACTGATGGGAAATGGGAGTGCAGCAAATATCACCAGGCAAGGACCTGAATTTTTCCCATCCATCAATGTGATGGTTGATCTGAAATTATTACAGATTTTTTAACTCAACTTAAAATAAAATATGGTCTTTAATATTTATATGAGTGTGCTATACATGCAGTCCCCTTTCTCATACCCTGAGATAAAAGAATTAAAGAAACAGTAAAACAAATTTAATGGAGTAATGTGATTCATTTTATCTCAGCATCAAAGCAGCTGTTCAGACAAATCAAAGGAAGTTTGCTTGACATTTGAGTAGGAACGCTTTTCAAAGTGCTGCATATGAAAACGAAACAAATAGAATCAGAAAACAAAAAAGAAAATGTACATTGCATTGGCATAAGTGTAATTAAGTATTAAATCATTAAAATAATTAAAGAAAATAAATATGAATGCTTAAAATGATAAGATTTATATTAAAAATAGTGTGAAATGGTTGATAAGAAAATGACAATTGGACTGCAAACAACTACGGTAATTATGTTTAGATAGCACAGTCAAAGGCCACACTAAACAAATAAGTGTGGTTTAAAGGGTTTCAGCACTTTTTGCAGTTCTATTCTCTGAGTTTATTCCAGATGAGAAGCAGAACTGCAGATAATTCAATCTAAATAAACTCAAAGAGTTAAGAAACTTAAATGTATCTATACATATAACACATTTATATTTCTATCTAAGGAAAAACAACTGATTGCAAGGACTCGTTGACTCTCTGAAATCCCTCACACTGAGCATGCATGTAGTGACAGTGGAGAGGAAAAACTCCCTTTTAACAGGAAGGAACCTCCAGCAGAACCAGGCTCAGTGTGAGCGGCCATCTGCTGAGGCCCACTGGGGTTCAAGGAGACAGAAGCAGATGAAGACGTAAACAAATGAAGTTCTTTGGTGCTCAGGATACGCTTGGATTAGTGACCAAGAAAGTATTCTGCCCCCAGGACCTGAACACTGGTGATGGAAGAGGATGAGCTGGGACTGAGAATGAGGGAGGAGATGGGGTGGAGGTGGGTGAAAGTTAGCTTGCATTCGGGTGAGAGAGGCTGGGCCTGCAGCTAAATAAAGGGGACTTTGCAAGATGATTGGCTTCGGAGAAGGTGGGAACCCCGGGCAGATTGGCTGGAGCAAAACGAGGGATGTGGCAGGTGGTTCAAAGCCGGTAAGAGTCTTCCAGATTGAATTTACACTTAAGCTTAATTTCAATGATAAATTTGGGGATATGATAACCACAGAGTCAAACAGTCATACAACTATATCCCCAAATTTGAGATTATTTCCTATAGATTTTGTTTATATTTTTCCATAAACGTATAGCACATGCAAATCTACCAGGACACGGCTGTCTCCCCTAATCTAAAAGGCCAGGTATGGAGAGCAGCAATCAGATGAGAACCTAAGACTCCCATTCTACCTTTGGAAGAGCTGCATAGATCATTAGCTTCAATTAGTCATCCACCACTAAATGCAGATTAACAACCTACTGTAAAATCTGCAGGTTTACTAGTAGGTCCTAGAATTTCTAAAAGTAGAATGGGAGGCAGATCTTTTAGTTCTCAGGCTCCTCTCCTGTGGAACCAACTACCAGTTTTAGTCCGTGAGGCAGACACCCTGTCTACTTTCAAGGCTAGGCTTAAAACTTTCCTTTTTGATAAAGCTTCTAGTTAGGGTGGCTCAGGTTATCCTGAGCTATCTCAATAGTTCTGCTGCTATAGGCTTAGACTGCTGGAGGACATAGGGACCCCTTTTTCATCATTCTGCTTCATTCTATCTCTATTCTCCCACTCTGCAGAATCTGTTAGTTCAATCTCTAACGTTCTGCTCTCTCTGCTTTTTCTCATGGTAGCTGACTGTGACTAACTGGATGTGCTCTCTTCATCCTCTGACATGGGAGCTGGCTCGGAGCTTGTCTGCCTCGCTGTGTGTTTCCTGGACGGGGCCGCCTTTTATAGTTGCTTTTTGTGTCTCTGCTTCTGTCTCCTTGAACGCCAGTCGGCCTCGGCAGATGGCCGCTCACACTGAGCCTGGTTCTGCTGGAGGTTTCTTCCAGTTAAAGGGGAGTTTTTCCTCTCCACTGTCGCTACAAACATGCTTAGTGTGAGGGATTGCTGAAGAGTCAATGAGTTGATGCAGTCAACTTGTTTTCCTTAGATAGAAAACTTTGAATCAATTTGACTGTATGATCCGGTGAACTGTAAAGTGCCTTGAGATGACGTGTTGTGAATTGTCGCTATATAAATAAACTGAATCGAATTGAATTAAAATGAAAAATATAAGTAACCCCAGAAGTCAAGCGGAGGATAGGCCAAACCTGTTCCAGAAGTTGCTCTGGTCAGATGAGACCAAAATTTTACCTTTTAGTATCTTGACAGAAAAGTAAAGAATATCTGAGATGAAATGTTCACAGCCCCATTCTATGTTATCTGGCCAAGTTTAAGAGATTGTGAGAAAAATGAGCAAAGGTTTAAACCCCTGGATGAGTAAAGCTGTTTGAAATCTTTCAACATTCTATCAGCCTGCCTCTGAAATCTGCAGCATATCTTTAGAAACTTTAATAGATGGATTTTTCCAGGTGTTTTACACTAAAATTCCTAATCCAAACATAAAAAACTACTATTAGAAACTCTAAAAACCTTGGCAACAAAAGCTAAATCGTAAATCAGAAATAATATACTTAGGTTTTTTTAAAGTTAAGGTAAGATTGCTTTGAGAATTTTTGCTGTGGGGGGTTGTAATGTTTCATTTCATTAAAAAGTCAAAGGAGCTCTAAACCATTTAAACCAAGAGCCACATTGAAAGCTTGTGGTGTGCCCAGCATTCCACAGATCTGTCAGAGTTGATGGATATGTCTCATGAATTAACAGGTCCCTGCAAAAAATAAAAAAAGAGAGAAGAGAGAATTAAGGTGTAGAGCTGTTTGACTCAAGACCATCCTGTGGTGACTGGAAGAAGAAGAAGAAGAAAAAACAATGTATTAGTAGGTTGGTTATGTACCTGGTGGCAGGATATATTACAGCTGGAGGCAGTTTTTAAAACAACTTGGAGCCTTTCCAGGAAGGTCTCAGAGCAATATCTACAACCATACGGATTGGAAAACGTATTCTGCCTCTGTCGGCAGCAGAGTCACTGACAATATTTATTATTATATTGATTTAACTTTCTGGGAAGTCATTTCACAAGGTCTAGGGGGCTTTAATAAAACTAGAATACAAATGTCAGCTGTTGTAAAAGTCCACAAACTTTACTTCTACAATAGTTTCTTCCTTACAACAGATGTAACCAAGGTTATTACTGGTATTAAGTCAGGAAAAAAATAATTAAATGAAGGTTTGAGCGACAGATATCTTATAAGTTATTAAATATATTTAGAATATGCAGTGTAAACTTCGTTAAATGTGTCATTTGTGTTAAAAAAAAATGTTTTTTACAGAACCACCCATATCCTCCTTCAGTCAAACAGGGGTTCAGCTAAAATGAAGGAAAATATCGCCATCGTGTGGTGAAACGTGGTAACAGCGACTGAAATGAAATACAAGAGGGTCGAAATTAATGGTAGTTTAGTTTAATTAAATTCTAAAAATACAACCCAGATAAAATTAGAGTAGAACAGCAATTTAAACAAATCTCAATTTATTTATATAATTATTAAGACGGTCTGCCACGGAATCTTTTAGACTCCAGTCTACTGACCGGACTTATATCCCAGTCGGACCGAACTCAGCACTTCCTGTAGGAGAGGAGCTCGTTTATCGCTGTCGTTTGGTCATGTTGAGGAATGTCCTGAGCAGGTTGGTGACAGAATCGGTTCGTGTTCACCATCATGTAAATCCCGCTCCTTTCAAACTGACGCTGACAGCCTGCCGTGGGTCGGTGAGGAACTTTGCGGAGGTGAAGGACGAGGTGCAGACGCCGTTCAACTCCACCCTGCTTGAAGTACTGGTCTGCCCGCTGTCCAAGAAGCCTCTGAGGTAAACGGACGGCTGGGATTAAAGGCTTAAGTGGATTTTGAATCCAGACGTTTATTTTCTAATCCTCTTAATTTACTTGATAAACACTCCTTTTTTATTTGTGTAACCTTTTTTGTGACATCTCAAAATAAATAGTACATTTGTTGTTTATCTTGACCTCAGGTTGCTACCATACACTTTGATATTCTACTCTAAACAGATATTAAACAACATCTATAAGCTTATTGTCGAGAGAAATAACAGCTGTGCTGCTCCCATCAACACCTTTGTTTATAGATGTTGGAGATCGGCCTGTTTTTCAGTGTAGTCCTGTTTCTCTGACTGTGACTGACTGGATGTGCTCTCTTCATCCTTTTACAGTTGCCTTATGTATCCGTGCTTCTTTTTCTATCTCTGCTTCTGTCTCCATGAACCGCAGTCGGCAGACAGCCGCTCACACTGAGAGGTTTCTTCCTGTTAAAAGGGAGTTTTTCCTCTCCACTGTCGCTACAAGCATGCTTAGTGAGAGGGATTGCTGAAGAGTCAATGAGTCGATGCAATCAACTAGTTTTGCTTAGACGGAAAACTTTGAATCAGTTTGACTGGATGATCTGGTGAACTGTAAAGTGAATTATGAGGTTCTAAAAGAAATATGTATAAAAAAAATCATATAATAATTAATTTGGCCCGATAAATATGGCTTTAGATCTATATATATATATATATATATATATATATATATATATATATATATATAGAGAGAGAGAGAGAGAGAGATATATAGATATCTATATATAGATATATAGATTGTCTTTGTTTTAGCTTGTATACACATATAAATGTCAAATTAAAACTTTTATTCTTTATCTTCTCCCATGAATCTTTAACAAAATTTAAATCCTTAGGTCTAAAACAGGACTTAATCAATTATCATTAAGGACACACATTAAGGAATTTTTTTTAAAGTTTTTTTGTTTGCTAAAAAAAAAAGAGACATTTAAATCTTTAAGGGATCCATGGGTCCAACACTCCAAACCTTTTAAAATTCAATCATGACCATAATTATTTGTCACAATATACAATCGTTTTGACTTGGCATGAAAGAGATTATATTGCTTTTTGGTCATTAAGCTGTGAAATGAAATCCAAAGTGTTTGCATGTTTTTTGCAGAAAAGATGAAATGTAAAATTCGCACTGGTGTAAACTCAGCAAGATAAGGTGTTTATCTATTTTCAGGTACGATGCTGACACCAATGAACTGATCAACGAGGAGCTCGGCATCGCTTATCCCATCGTTGATGGCATTCCTAACATGATCCCGCAGGAGGCCAGACTGCTACAGAAAGAAGAACCATCTCCAAGCAAACCTGCAGAGTAGAACTCTTGAACGTCTTAAATTCAAAGTGAAATCCATTCATGCACTGACTGATGCGAATCCAGCAGTAGGATATTTGTTGAATAGCCAGAATGTTCTCCCTGTCCATGATGGTGGGACTGGTTCCCATCGTGTCTCTGTTCGGTTTGTTTTACTCTGCTGCTGTAGATGAGAACTTCCCTCAGGGCTGCACCAGCAGCAACAGTCTGTGTTTCTACAGCCTGCTGCTGCCAGTAACCATCCCCGTCTACGTCTTGTTCCACCTCTGGAGCTGGATGGGGATCAAGCTCTTCAGGCACAACTAAGCTGCTCATCCTGAAAATTCATATTCAGAAAAAATGCAACATTTTCAGATAAATTTCTGTCACTTTCTTAGATTCTCGATGCTTAAGTTTTTTTGAAATCTTTTCATACAAAGATGCTGAATTGTTAGATGGAGCTGGTTTGCTTTTAACTGGAGGTAGAAATATTTACCAATAGGTACCAATCCCAGTTTATATGTCAAATATATTGGTGTAAAATGGGATCCAATGTAAACATCTCCCCCAAAAATCTATCTGCTTATTAAGATGAAATAAACTTCAGCACATGAGTTTACTGCTTTCTTCTTCTTTTGTAAAATAAAGAGAGTCTGGTCTTTAGAATAATTTAATTGGTAAAATGCACTTGGTTACATAACAAATATATGAACAGTTTGATGTCAATTTTATAGTTTTGTCATATATAAAAATGGATTTTGGTGAAATATTTTCCTCAAAATGAGTACTTTAGAGAACATATTCCAAGAAATGTAACAAGAAATAATCAACAAAGTTTAGGTTTGGAACAGCAAATCTATAGCAGACGCTCAACAATCAACATCTTTAGAAAACTGTAGCTCCTCAGCGCATCCCACAAAAGCACTGAGTTACTTTCTTATGTGTCAAAACTCAAAAATGAGACACTGAAGTTGGAATACATTCATCTTCTCCCTGAACGACACTTCTTGGCTTTATCCTCTTGGCCCAGAGCGAGTTTCATCAGCGGCGACTCCGGACGCGGAGACTGTCCCTCTCCTTTTGCCTTAAAGAAGAAGGGTTTGTTCAGCCTCAGCTGGACTGCCCCCACCTAAAATCAGGAGGTAAAAAAAAACTCAGCAGTGATACAACCATAACGGCTTTGTTTCTGTGATAAAATCAATATTATGAGATCTAACGAAGAAAAGCAGTTATTTTGTGATTGTTCTGTTTTCTCTAGTCTGGATAACGACAGAAACCTTTAATTATTCCTCTCTTAAATGTAAAAGTCTATAAACTGTTCATATTTAAATGTGGTAAAAAAGCAACTTCAATTTTCCAGTGAAAAGCTAAAGGTACTACTGGCAGTGGTGGACGAAGTACTCAACAGTAATACTTGAGTGAAAGTATTGATACTTACGGTCAAATCTTACTTAACTAGAAGTCAAAGTTACCTGGTTAAACATCTACTCAAGTTAAAGTATTAAAGTGCTCGCTTTTAAATATACTTCGGTATTCAAAAGTACATGCATTTTAAAAGTATTTAAGTACTTCCTCACTAATATCAGTAAATTTCTGTGTAATTTGAAAGAACCTTAGAAACCATGGAGATTGATGGGTAGAACCTCTGCTACAGATTCTGTGCCATCTGTAAAGAACTTAAGCATAAAAAATGCCCCCAAAAATAAGAACAGCTACTGAGATGATTTCTTATTTAAAAGCAAATCAAAAGGAAAACATGTTCACTATGGACTAGAGGTCCAAGGTTGAACCTTTTACCACAAAGAAACCGCAACTCTTATTTGAGAACTCCTCTAAAAGGCAAAAACTAACGCCTTAATATAAACTACAAATGATAGCCTATTGTGCCAGTAGGCTCAGTAGGTTGTTATCACCCAGTGATTCCTAATCCTAACCCTAAAGTAATTCCTATTCCCCACGGAAATAATTCATCTAATTTCAGTAGTTCTGCTTGTACTGTAAAAATAAATAAATAATAAAATGATCCGCATATTGCTCATATCAAACAAACCAAAGACAAATAAATTTCATATCCTGTCAACTGAGTTGTAGAATCTTCTCCCTATAAATATTGAAAAAAATGTAAAAATGCTGGTCAGTCTCTAATAAGATCCTTGTCAAACAGACATGCAATGTTTGTATTTAAAACCTAATGTGTCTGATGGACCTAGGGAATGATTTTTATTTTTTATGCACAAAAATATGACAGAAATCTGACTAAACCAGGAAATAAAACAGCGTGATTGGCTCTAAGGAGAGTGGGGACAGGAGACTGAGTTTACTGAAGAAAACCTGCTCCTGAACAGGTTAGCTCTGAGGAGAATAAACAGAGGTTGAGGAAACTCTCTTCCTCAAATGAAAACTTAGAAAACTTTGAATTTTCACTAAACCTGCTTCATGAAATGGATCCCAGAGCTAAGGACAAAAAGGACCAGACTGTTGCTGGGTGACAGCACCGTATCACGGTTCTAATGGCTGAACAAAGTCTAAGACCACACACAGCCAAAAAAAATGATTTTCATTATTTGGAAAGAAGCAAAAAAAGAGAGATTATTGCTCTGGGAAAATTAGCTGTTAAAAGAGCCAGCTGACTCGGAGCTCGTCTGCCTGGCTGTGTGTTTCCTGGACGGGGCCGCCTTTTACAGCTGCTTTTTGTGTCTCTGCTTCCGTCTCCTTGAACCCCAGTCGGCCTCAGCAGATGGCCGCTCACGCTGAGCCTGGTTCTGCTGGAGGTTTCTTCCTGTTAAAAGGGAGTTTTTCCTCTCCACTGTCGCTACAAGCATGCTTAGTGTGAGGGATTGTATTTGAGTCAATGAGTCAATGCAATCAACTGGTTTTCCTTAGATAGAAAACTTTGTATCAATTTGACTGTATGATCTGGTTGAACTGTAAAGTGCCTTGAGATGACATGTGTTGTGAATTTGGCGCTATATAAATAAACTGAATTGAATTGAATTTCTTCTTTACTTTGAGGCAAAGTCATGAGAATTTTTGAGGCTTACTCAGAGATTTATGAATGAGACGAATATAAACAAATCATTAAATGACCTCAAATGTATGCAGGAATCATTTGTACCATTCATACCAGATCACTGAAACTATATTATTAAAATTATTCTAAAAATAATTAAAATACCGGCAAAATGATATAGCATTGTCATTTACTACCTGGACTGTCATCATGCATGTGTGCAGTGTATTAAGTCAGATCAGTGTTTCTATAGACTGAAAATTATTGGTTATTATTTTCCAAATGAATATAAATCAATTTGTTCAGAAAATGCATCTAGATTAACCCCGTAATTCCCACCTTTTTATAGCTTGTGCACAAATGTATTACAAAACATAACTGTCATTGGCCAGTAAAATAATGAAATATGTGTACAGACTCTGAAGGTTTTAAACAGCCAGAGCTGTGTGACTTCAACACGTCCAAAAAAATACTTTTTTATCCCCTCGAATAAAGAAATGCTATTTTTATTATGTTATATCTTTTGTATAATTCATGGTTGACCACTCCCACTTACTACACTTGTTCTTCATGTTGTCGGCTACAACTGTGTAAAATTTCAGAGTCATGAGCATTCTGAAACTATGCCCCTTTTTTGTATGTAAAAGGTCCATTCAGCACAATTGTGCCGAAATTGGAAGAAATGTTGCAAAGTGGATTATTTGAATTTTATGAGTAATTTGATGATTAAAAAAAAAAACATACCTATGTTAAGAGTAGGGGTGCAACTAACGATTATTTTAAAAATCGATGAATCGGCCGATTATTTTTTCGATTAATCGATGAATCGGACAAAAAATATTTTTTATATTAACCTCTTTATTCCAAAATAAACATTTTAGACAGAACAAACAAGCACACAAGTACAGGTTGCTCATTAACTGTCCTGGTGCAATATGAAAAATAAATGTTTGTGTTAAAACTACGCAAACTTACATGAGAAATGTAGCTGTACATCCACAAAATATAGGCTACTTTGTTTCATAAAGTGCAAAAAAAGACATTTTTGTTTTTAAAAGCCCCTAAGGGGTTCAAACAATAGGCCCCCCCATTTCAACAAATGAGGTTTTTTAGACTAGAAGAGTTCTGCCTTTTAAGACAGGAAAGTATGGCAGTTAAAGTTGCTACTTGAGAAAATACTGAACCATAGAGATAAAAATAGCCCTGTGATTCTAATTATAAATTGTATTTGGAATAAAAATGAGAGAACTAGGGGTGCTAAAAAACACATCCTCCAAAGACAGATATTTACATGGGAATGTGGCAGATAATTAATGGACATATTACTGATCTTGCTGGATTTTATTCTGCTTTACTTCCATAAATTACAGGATCTTCTTTACTTTATCTTTGCCAGAAGATTTAAACTTTAAAAGCCTTGCCCTCATAATTTGCAAGTTAATTTATTTATAAAGGCTATTATAATAATTGTGATCAATTTGCGCCGTAAATCCCGGCGCATGCGCGCTTCATTTGCAGTCTGGACGCTGAAACATCCTGCGGCTCTGACTGCAGCGCTGAGAGGGACTCCTGCGGGAGAACGGGGTTGGGATGGGGGAGGCGCCCCACGGCAGAGTAGGAACCATACATGCTTTCACGTAAGAGTCTCCAAAAGCCGCCAGTAACACCGTAAAAAGTTGCCAGATTTGTCGCTTGTCGCTTTTTTTTTAAATAGTCGCTGGAGGGTTTTGAAAAGTCGCTAAATATAGCGACAAAGTCGCTGAGTTGGCAACACTGCACCTGCAGCGCTGGCTCGCTCTGCCGTAATTTTTTTTTCTTCCCCGTTTCAGTCAAGAGGCAGTGATGACGGCGGCGGCGGATGACGCATTAATCGCGCGACACAACTAATCGATGATGAAATTCGTTGCCAACGCTTTTAAAAGTCGATTTTTATCGATTTTATCGATTCGTTGTTGCAGCCCTAGTTAAGAGTTACACAAACTTTCATATAAGAACTTTTATTTTTATTTTTCCAGTTTTGAAACATGAAAATCCACTTGTGAAAGTCCACGTGCATAATCGCTAGGTTCTCCTCTCCTCTCACTCTTTATTCAGGTAAATAAACCCTATATTTTCAGCCTGCTCCTATACTTCTGGAATGTCATAGCAAAGCTTATCATATTGGATAACAAAATATGTCATTCAATGGTTGATTGGTCACTAAAAAACAAAGTAGGATCTGAAAATTATGAATTCTAAGTTGATGACAAATTATTCGTTATTGGTATTCACAGTGTATGCTTGCCTTACATTGGATTTATGATTATTTTCCATAGGATTGCCTTATTCTAAAGAGGTTTAATATGCTGGGTTTCATTTTGAAATGAGTGAGATATTTGTTGCGGAAAAAAATGTGACCAGGCTCGGACCAGTAATCTGTGATACCGAACATTTGCCTGGTGGGCCGGTCCTAATTTCAGCATGCGTGGGCCGGCCCTCCTTAAATCATACTGGCCCCAACACTTAGGCTACGTTCACACTGCAGGCCTCGATGCTCAATTCTGATTTTTTTGTGAAATCCGTTTTTTTTTTGCGTTGCCGTTCACATTTCCAAATATATGCAACTTGTATGTGATCTCCTGTGTGAACTGCAGTCATACAATGCAAGTGTCCCGCATGCGCAGTAGAGGATGCAAGGACGTCACAGGCCAGCGTGCTCTGTGTTTACGGAAGTAAACATGGATGGTAGTGCCGGAGCGCATCTAGCGATCTTTCCCAACCATAAAAACACAATCTTTTGAATATAGTTAAACATAAATACCGCTCTCCACATCATCGCCCGCCATGGTTGTTGTTTTTCTTGCCGCTTCTTCATAGCAAGACCCAGAATAGTGACCTTTGTCGGTTATTAATGGCGTTCAGGTCGGATGAATGCAACCTGGCCGTTCAGACACAGGTCGCATTTGAAAAGATCAGATTCGTATCGAATTCAGGACCACATAGCCAAGAGGCCTGGGTCGCAGTGGAAAAATCGGATCTGTGTTGTTCAGACAGCCATGAAAAGATCAGATCCAGGTCGTGTATGGTCCAAAAAAATCTGATTTGGGTCACTTCAGGCTGCTGTGTGAACATAGTCTTAGGCCCCGTCCACACGAAGTCAAAACGAACACGAAACGCTAATATTTTCCAGAACATTTGTCGTAAAGACGGAGACGTAAAATAAATGTGATCGACCACACGAATGCATGAAAACGCTGCAAAATGTATGCAAGGCCTGTAAGTGGCGCTGTGGTGCCAAAGCAAAAATAGGCGACGAAATGTTGGGCGTGCGCACTAATATTTATACATGGTTGCCCTGCGGGTCTATTTTCCTGGTTCAGTCAAATTCAGGTGCTGAACTATGTGGTCGATATTGCTCTGTTCTTCCTGGAGATATTCCAGAAGAAGAAGATTCTGTTGTAAGCCCGACAGCAGGGTGAGTAGCATGAGCAGCAACCATTCAACACAGTACGGCGCCATTGTTGTTGTGATACTGTGTCGCACATGCGTGTTTAGAGGCGACGCTATGACGCATGCGTGTAAGAAAAAAAAATGCGGTTAGAGCGTAAAGATGGAAACGCGAAAACGGCGTTTCAAAATCTTCCCACTCTGAAGGCTGAATAAAAAAAAGATCGTTTACAGACCCCCGAAACGCCGGCTTCGTATGGATGAGAGGCTGGTTTGGTGAAAAATTTGTGCGTTTAGGCCAGGGTTTGACTTCGTGTGGACGGGGCCTTACTCTCCGGCCGAAGCTCCTACCTGTGTCAGTTAATAACTCAAGGAGCTCAAGAAGTAATATAATGTTAACTACCTAAATGATGCATGCAGTATATACAGCCCTTCCTTGTCATGCACATCCTTGTGACGGTTGGCATATGGTGTAATTTTCTATTTCTTCAACCTGTAAAATGCTTGCAACAAACTAAATTATAATAAAACTAAAGTGCTTTCTTTAAACTTAACTACAATGTTCCTATTATTTTTGGCAAATTTATGTTAGAATATTTTGTAAAATTATGTTGCGGTGCATGATGGGGCGGTGTAGATGGAAAAATGCCATGGCCGAAAATCGTTCCCAATCCGAGCCTAAATGTGCCGTAAAAACGCACCAATATCAGCCAGTGGATGTTGAGAGGTTAAAAGGTCAGATTAAAAATACAGTTTGAACGTAATAATTAAGCTGGTATTAAATAAACTTTTCATCATGTCGACATTTCTGTATTTATTTAATCGCCTTGATGTAATATGCTTATTATTAGTGCTTTTTATTCACTTATAAGCAGATATGTTAAAGCTTTATAAACATCTGTCTGTGTAAAATTAATCTATAGTTATTTGAGTTCCTGAACTAAAGACATTTTTTAAAGCATTCTGGCTGTTAATGCCTGAGTATGGGTTGAAGTGGGGTCACCTGGTTCGCGTCTCGCTTCCCAGCGCGGCAGTGCTGGTCGTCCTCGCTGGAGGTGGTGTTGGCCGACCTGGATTCCACCTCTGACTGAGGACTTGGAGTTTCTTCACCAGGACACAGACTTTCCATCTTCCTCTCTGCATGTCTGGTTTTTGGAGAGGCAGACGTGCTTTCCTTTCTGTTACAGCTTATTTCTCCCTTTTGGAATGATGACTCCTGCTTGTGGCCTTTTTCTTCTTCTAGCTTTATGTCGGGATCGAGTGTTTCTCCTGACAAACAGAGGCTGTTCCTCGCTCTATGTGGCAAGCTCAGATCCAAAGGCTTCCAGTCCGGGGATTGCAAAGCTGCTCTGTTTTTCCGGCAGAAGCCAAGGTAGGAGGAGATTTCTGTGGTGAAGAAGTTTTCCGTCTGAGTGGAAGTGCTTGCGAAACCAGGGGTCATGGTTGGCTCCCGAGCGTATGGACGGTATGAGGAGCCATCTTGGAATAAAACAGCATCCGGGGTGGGGTTTATAACCAAAGGGTCATCCAAGAAAGGATCACCCAGTTGGGGCCTTTCATGTTGAGACACTTTTGTTTCTGCTTGGTTTGTCAGGAAGGATATTTCTCCTGAGGGTTTTAGAAACTCACAAATTTCTCCCATCTTCTCTGTTTTTATTCCCCTGTCTCGTCCTTTATCTGATGTCTCGTTGCGTCTTTTTATCTCTCCCGCAGCGGGGGGCTGCTTCTTGTCTCGCTGCGAGAACACATGAGGGGATTCAGAAATAACTCTGGCGTCGCTGGCTTCACTGCTGGAAGTTCCAGAAGGCGATGCTCTGAACCTCTTCTGGGTGATGAACAGGTCCTGGCTGTTTATGTCGTCACTGTTATACTGAGAGTCATTTTCCTGTGGTGGAATCTGGCTTTTTCCCGTCTCCAGGGAGCCGCTGTCTTCCTCTCTCACAGCTTCGGTTCGTTTCAGTGCCGGAGATGCAAAAATGGGACGTTTGATAGGTATGTAGGAAGGTAACGAACCAAACGCCACCATCTTTTTACTCTTTTTATTCTTTAGCTTTTTCACTGGTTTTTCAGTGGAAGAGCTTTGCTTCTCGTTTAGGCACTGGTTGCCCACTGCAAGCTTCTGGCTGCCCTCAACAAATTTGGAATTATCAAGATTCAAAGCCAAATTGTCTTTCTTTTTTTTCTTCCCTTTCTTTTCTCTGTCCTTTTCCTTCCTCTTCTCTTTCTTATTTTCCGTCTTTCCCATCATTGCTTCTTTAAATTTGGACTTTTTATTTTCCTTCTGGACCTTTTCATGTGTCTTCGTGGGTCTGCTCTTCTTATGTTTGACATTTTTTTTCTTCTTCTTCTGTTGTTTTCCTTTTGGAGGTGACATCCATAGTTGAGTGATGAAGTCTGCATCCGTAAGGTCACTCATGGCATGCCCTAAACAAAAACAAAGACACATTATTATGTCATAGATCTATTCTTCTCCTTCATATCATAATTAAATGTATAGATAAAAAAAGCAAGTTCTGTAAATCTTCATTAGAAGATATTGATCGTTTAATTAATTAGGTATCTATGTTGTTTGGAGCTTGAGTAAGTCTACATCTTCCTCTGTGACCGCCTCAATTACAAATATGGCGCTGTGCTGCACAGCAAAAGGGCTATCCGGCAGAGTAGCGGTGCAGAAATAGCCCATTTTCCCTTTGGTTTATGTAAAATTGTTTTGGTTTTTAAAAAAATTGAATCCTAGGAACTGAAAGATCTATATCAGGGGTCACCAACATGGTGCCCGCGGGCACCAAGGGGCCCTCAAGGACCACAAGGGGTGCCCTTAGAGTCTTCTGAAAATAGAACAACTCAGCAGTGAGCTACGTTTGAAATTCACTGTATTCTGTTGCTCTTCTTTTTTTAATTGGGTTATAGAACATTTAATCATTTAATCATATATGGCATTTAAGCATTTATAGAGATTTTAAAATGAAAATGTCTAAAAGAAAATTAGAAATTTAAAGATACGATAAAGATATGTTTATGATGTATGAAGTTTAGGTGAACATTGACCCTCGCAATTCATAGGTCAGTATTGGTAGCCCTTCCTGTGACTCAGTGCCCCTGAATTAACTGTAAAAAGGTTGGTGACCGCTGATCTATATTATATCAGGCTTCTGAATATCACGATATATCACCAAATTGATTTGTTTCCATATCAAAGAAGAGTTTTGTTTGCATATTTGTTTTTGCAAATGTGAATTTTAGATTACTGGGTTAGGTTTTTCTTTTGTTGAGCAAGTATTTTTTCATGGTGAGTTTGAAAAAGGTAAGTTTTTCAAGGTTAATTATTTTTTTCATGCCTTTAATTATGCCATTTGGAACCCAGTGGTATAGAAAATGAGCGTAAAACATTTTCCTGGATGTCGATATTGAGCGTAGCAATTTAGTATTACAATAAAACATTTTCTGAATGGTAGTAATCTCAACATACATGCAACCATTTTACATATTATTTTAGACCATCTGGAGAAAAAAAAGATCTACAAGACTTGACAAATCTGACATTGAGAAACTGATTGCTCTGATCATGGACAGCTGTTAGTTGCATCCTCCAATCAATCTTTTATATTTTCTCAATCCTTGCAGCCATATTGGAGTGTGCTACTTAAAAACCCTCCTGTTGTCCTCATTTCCTGTAGACACCCTGTGTCTTTTGGCTCAAAATGACCCGTCTTCACTAATCCCCCAAATTTAAGCAGCTTAATTTAACTTTTAACACCAAATTATATCTTTTATATTGTCATTCGCCACAAAATGAGTGAATACTTTCCCTCTTCACTTGAATTTCTATAGCTTAGGGAAAAAAAATAGCAAAAAGGAGTTCTTAGTGCATTTTACTAATCCGAAATACTCGGTTTCTTTCTTTTTTTTCTTTTATAATGAACAATTTAAGACATAACCCAATTAACTAATTAGCACATGAAGAGCAGTATGCAAGTGAACAGCCTTTGCAGATATACTTCTTACACCTGCAGCACACACAATGTGTTTTACAGTCCTTCTTTTGAGGGCAGAACTGACGTCTTGCCCCAGCTAGGGAAGTGGCTGTGTTAGATGGATACTCAGGTTGATCAGAAGCTCCTGCACTCTGAATAGCTTTCAGAACTGCTGCTGAGGCTTTTTTGCGGAGGACATGTTTCTTTCTTTCAATGAGTGGAGATACAGGGACCTTTTCAAGCTGCTCTAGGAACACCCTCCTCTTGTTCTGATTACCAGACATCCAGGTCAGGTTGATCTCTCTCCAAATCACAAAGGCATTGTAGGACAAAGCATCAATGATGATGTGGAAGAGGACCAACGGCCAGCGGGAATTCATTCTTCTGCAGCATTTATCCGTTTACTACAGTGTGTTAAATTCATGTTAATGTGGATTTAAAGACATTTTAATTAGTGGAAAAAATTGCAGCAGGGAATATAAAAAAAAGTTTAATCAACCAAAGCTTTTGAGACCCCCTTGTAGTACCTCCGTGGTCCCCCTAGGGGTCACGGACCCTCTGTAGAAGACCTCCGTTCTAGGATGATGATTCCATGGCATCATTTTGCAGCTCGCTTAACGATTCTTATAACAAATCCAGGCAGCACCAGAGCCTAGAACTGGGCAGCACGACTTACAACACATTTTTTACACAAGTTACGCACATTACATTCAGTAAGCAAGTACGACGTGACCAGGCGTAAGTCTAGAAAAGCAGAGCTAAAAAAATGGCGGTCCATCGGGTAAATCAATCAAAAGTTTGGCTTCCTTTTAAGGAAGAGAAAGAAGGCAACAAGGCACTTTGCAATCATTGCAAAGTGGCAATTACATCCGCTTGAGAAAATACATCCAACATGCAGAAACACACACGACATGGCATACATTTTAACGAATGCCGTGTTTTTGATGCTTCCGGACAGAAGCTAAAGTTACAACCAGCATGGAAGGCAACTCTGGTGGTTAGTAGCTAGTTTTATATCACTGGCTGTGCTTAATGTGGTTCCTAGTAAATCATATGCCATTCCTGGAAATAAACCTATTTTCTACCTCTCTTTGGGATTATTAAGGGAGTGAGTCTTGTTAATTCAGCGCTTCATAGCTAGCATTAGAACTACTGGAAGCTGAAATTCTTACATGATTCTAGCTGTTCCAATGGATGTAACAAAACATGCTACTGAGTTGCTCCACAGTTCAGGGAACAAGAGAAAGGTGACACTCATTTATTTAAATCAGGGGAGATGAGTTTATTTACCAAAATTGTACAGTAATGCTTTTTCATTCAACGGAATCAATAAGAGAATCGATAAGGAATTGAATTGTTTCACAGAATCGATTAGGGAATACAAAATACAAAACACATAAGCATCAGTGATTAGCAACATTGTTACAGAAAACAGTCAAAGAAATCAAATGTGAAAATCCCTTTTATTTCAAATATGAAAACAGATTACCTCTAAATGGAACCAGTTGCTCATCCAATGTTACGTCACGTCCTGGATTGCAAAGGTAGGGCAGCCGCTCCTCCCGCTTGTTGCATACCTCTCTTATGGCTGCAAGTTTGTCTGTCACACATCTTGCTGGTCTTGACTTACGGTCATCAAATAGTAGCGGAAAATTGACCTTCCGCTCTCTTTATCCCATAGACTAAATGCAGCCTCAACTTGGGACTTGTATACACCTGCTAAGATTAGCAGCCCTAAGTAGGCCTGCAGGGCAATCTCATCCATCTTTTTCCAGCTGTCTCCATATTTACGAAAACCCTCCAGGTTTGTCATCCCCAGGATTATTGTTTCTATTGCTGGTGTGATAAACAGGTGGAATGTGGAGACAATATCATGGGCATGAGAAACGGCATACATTGAGGGTCCTGGGATCATCTTTATGATGTTCTTCATGCCTGCATTGTTGGTCATATGCTGTTAACGACCATGTTTTGCCATTTTTTTGAAAGGGAAGTTTCTCTTTCAGCTTTAGGGTATTTCTTCTTCTGAAGATGATTCAACATGCTCTGGGTTGCATTACTCCCCATCTTCGTCTTCGGATACATCCTCCACTTCCTCTTCTGAAGCAGAGTTGTCTTGATAGACATCTGAGAAAATCAGCTCTAAAGCCTCTTCAATGTTGTAACGCACACTGTCACTACTTATCCGTCCCAAAAAACCAGAAAATGACTGGATAAGGCAACTCTTTACGTGCCCATGATGCTATTTCATGAATGGACGAGTAGAAGGTGATTAAAACAAGAGACCTAGTTTAGTCTCTAAAACAGACATGGCTACAGCTTGATGCGAACATGTTTGTTAGCTGTCAGAATTGAGTCAAAATTCTGAGATTAAAGTAAGAATTGTGAGAAAAAAAAGTCAGAATTCTGAGTTTTTTTCTCATATTATACTGAAATAAAATTCAACAACAATACTTTTTTGTATTTTTTCAGTGGCCGTGATCCTCTTCTGTAGTTAACCCTGCTTCTACTTGGCAAACTTTAATGCATCAAGTCCTACATGGATGGACTGGCAAAAATGTTAAAAGCACTATTTTTAGGTCTCATTAAATATGTATTAGCAGCAAAACCACAATTACGTGCATTGGGAATTAAACACAAGAACTATACGTTTGGTTTTGATTTTAAGTTATAGTTATAATAATGGACAATTGGATTGAAGTCATTTTTAATTCTTGGGGTTTTTACATGAATTAATCAAGGTCACTCTAAAAGATTAAAATTAGCCTGACGCTTCAAAAATAATACACAAAACACATTAAGGATAACTTAAGACTTTAAGGTTCTTCTTTGCAATTATCACCCAAGCTGAGATATATATAGGCTATATATATTATTATTTTATTTAGTTTTTTTCTTTCTTTTTTTGGTGAAAATCAATTTAATCTTTAATCAATTCTTTTGCCTAATCCAAAAAGTAAAAAAATAAAAATTGACACCAGAATAGTTTACTTTTTTAATGTGGAGTAAAAACTAATGGCCCAAATAAAGCGGCTATGATTTGGCAAACCCATCGAGGCAACAAGGTTCTCAATTTGCTTCATTACCACATTATTATGCGCTTTTTGACGCTCAATACAACTTTAACCAAATTATACAGTTTATAGACGTTAAAAGTTGAGTTTTAATTATATATATAAAAGTATTTGACTCCATAATTACCTTCAGAGAGAAGTTAAGCCGAAATCAAACCAGCGATTTCACATGAAAGAGACCGCCTCCGTCTGTGTTCTGCTCGTGGTGCTTTCAACTACACTACGTAAATGAGAAAGTCTGACTGTTTCAATTTCAAATCTACATTAATACCAGCGCCTTTGTTTAAATAACATTCATAGGAAGCAGTTTAAGCTTAGATAGAAAGATTTAATATTTTTCTAATTAGCTTAAACCCTAAAATAGATGTTTGTTTTACTCCCTAAGAGACACTGATATTTTAATTCCATGTTGTAAAATCTGTTTATACCACTAGATGTCGCCATTGTTGATAAAATGGAGAAAACTGAATTATATATGTTCGATGAGGAAAATCATCTAAGGACATAGCTCAAATATAAGGAATTAATGGTTTGTCTTTATTATATCTCAACTAAAGTGAATACTCCTCCATATGATCACTCCCACTGCTAACTGTTAAAACCTTACAATTTTCTGACAGAGAACCTGAGTGGGTACTGAATTTTCTTAGATAACAGCAGCTTGATCTTTTTTTTTTCTTTCTTTTTTTTCAGAATGTCTAGTGCAAATAACATCAAATCATACATATAATGCTTAATATAATCTGTATATTTACAGCTACTTGTATTGAGCTCCATAGAGGTTTTTTCTTTGTCTACAGCTCAGAGGGGAAGAGAAATGAGAGAGAAAGAAAACAAACTAAATCTAGAACACAGATATATATCATATTCAGCACAGCAGTCACAATTACCATTAGTTGAGGTTTGAAATAAGTGTTTGAAATGGGGACCATTTATCCAAGAACACATCACTTTTCATCTGTAATAGTGCTCTGATTTGTTCCATATGGGCTACTTTCATTACCCAATTTTCCATTAAATGCAATAGGGGGTTGGGGTTTCAGCCGGGAAACCTCGATCATTTTCTTTGTATGAAAAAAATTGAAAATCTTTAGCAGATAAAAATTTCAGTGAGTTAAGATTTTATTCTTAAATATTTATAGTAGTATTAAGGATTACTCTAAGGGGACCCATGTGTTCAGCAGCAGCCTGTTTTTCGTGGAAGCCAATGAAAAGTTGTTAAAACCCCAACTAATCCATTTTTATAAACAATAGGCTGCAAATTTAATTTAAAAAGTCTGACAATGAAAGTTCAGCTTATCTACTAAACATGTATTTCTGATAACAAGCTTAATCATTTTTTTTTTAGTAGACTCTTTGTATTGCTTAGCTCATACATGGTTCTCAACCAGAAAAAATCTCTTTCCTTAAGTTTTGAGTCAGTATAGAAAGTATCTTGGTGTCTTGATAAATAGATGATAAGATAAATTTACCAGCCTGTTTAAAATTACTTTGACGGGTTTTAAATCACCAAAATGAAGAATACATAATCATCTGTTTTTCAGCTCGACTCATTCTTAGGATGAGGAGCTGTCTCATCCAGCTCAAAGAAGAAGAAGAGTTTTTGCTCCTCCACTTTAAAACAAACCAACAGACAGATACAAAATGTCTTCTCCCTGGCCTTACTTATGAGGTTTTCTAGGAATTTCCCACTGATATATATTTTATATTCAATAAACTCAATTCTAGATACCATGGGGATATAAAATCACGAATGATTAAAACCAGAAATAAATGTTAACATGAAAAACTCACCTTCTTCAATCTAAGTATGGATTTTTCTCAACAGAATCACAATTTCTACTTAAATAAGTGTGCAAAAATTAAAAGCAAAATGAATAACCCGAAATGTAACACAAATCTGCAGCATTTTAAGGGTGTCTGAGGTAATATTTTAAAGTGCAAAATTGAAAATAAAAACAAGATGTACAACAATCAATGATCGACAGTTACAAAAAATAAGAGGATAAAATGAAATCCTGAAAGGAACATTTAACACATTTTGCACCAACGGTTTACATAGTAAAATGATAAATAGCCTTTACTTGTGTAGCACTTTGTTTTGCTTCTGTTCATAAGATATATTAAATTAACCATTCATAGGCATGATAACACCCTCACATATGCCAAGTTGTTTTTTTTTTTTTTTGGTACATCGTTTATAAATAGCAAATTACAAATTTGTGCCTAACATTTATTTAGAAATATTCAAAGTTTAGAAATTAATTGCAAATGATTGAGAAATACATTAATTATCGTAGTTTTTCAAGCTTTGTCCCTTCTGTCCCCCCAGTAAAAAGGTCTAGCTCAGCCACTGCTGGGATCTCTGAAACTCTCATAAAGCCCAGCAGAATAAAATTGTTAAGATAATTTTTATTGTTCATGTATGTGCCTGTTAAACCCTAATAATGCCTACCCGTTAAGCATCAGGTTTTCCCAAACAGTTCAACTAATTAGGACAAGATTTGGGAATGAAATAGGAGCACAGACAGAGTGGATCATTGATAACAGCGAGATATCTCTATTTGTGCATTTGTAGATTCCTTGATCTAAAAACACTGGCATATTTTGATATGACTGGAGCCAGTAAAGTCTCCTCATGTACCAACATGTGTATTATATAATGATGTGGCAGACTGTATGTATAAAATCTTTCTTTAACCGTTATTCTCGGCTACTGTCGACTCTCTGATGAAGCGAGCCTGATGGTACCATCAAATCTGTTCAACCTCTCTGTTCTGAGTAAGATTGCAATTCTGCTGAAGTTGTTTTCTAGTCATTTAACACATAAACCTTACAAAGTGATATTGAAAGTGTTTGGTCTGAGGGATCTCTAATCAGGAAAGAATCGGAAAGATAAAGTTTAAATATGTGAATAAAGTGCTTTCCGTTATAGAATGTAGATAGAACGGAGGGACAGTTCTACCTTAAATGACTAAGCTTCACCCTGCGTTTCTCTGCAGATTAATTGAGGAACTGATCCCAGCCGTCAGTGTGTGAGGACACAACCTGGACAGGACATGCACCAGTCCATCACAGGGCAAAAAAATAATATGAAATACACAGAGAACAGACATGAATAAACCACCTCACACATTCTCATCTTATAGGTAGTGAGGACCATGTGTTGACTCCCATTAACTTCCATTGAATTTCAGAGGTTTTCCATGCCCTATATAACCTGGAACATTAACCCTAAACCTAACTACTACTAGTGCATGCCAAACCTTGACCTAAACCTTAACTCCCTTCACACCTTAGCCCTAAACATAACTCTTATCAAAACAGGAAATACAGATTAATTCAGGAAGTAAAAACTGTTCTCCATTTGATGATAAAATCAGAAAAAACAGTCATCCCTTTGATGCCAAAACAGGAACCAACTGTAATGATGAGAAAACAGAAGACCCAGAATTCAACCAAATGCAACAAGTGGCACCTA